ACAACTTCCAATATGAACTTGGCAAGGTCAATGAGCAACTGTCCAGAGAAATATCATAAAAGGATCAACCGATAATATGAATATGATTTCAGTCTGCATGAATAGGTCAGGTTAGGTCACTACTTGGCTCACTCTCCCTGACCTACTCTCACATCTCATGACTGCTAAGTGAGGTCACCCATAACACTGAGACACAAAGGTGAAAGGAAGTGAGGCCAAGTCAGTATTTGAAGTCTGCCCTTGACTTTGGGACTCCAAGGGTGATCCAGAAGCTAAATGAGGCCAGATGCAGCCACATGGAGCTGCCTACTAAACCACTACAGGGGCACTTTACTCTAGTGGCCATGACTAGAGGTAAACTTTAACAAAAATAAGTGCTTGTCAAAAGTGCACTGAGGGTTGTATAAACTGAAAATTAGAGAGGTCTAACAATATTTGTTGTTTCACACTTGAAAACTATATAATATCTTTTCATCATGACAGAGGAGTAATGGCCGGGCTAGGGCACACCTTTGCTTAACAAGGCAGATGCAGAATTTGGGGAAGAGAGTGGTAAGACTTCACTGCATTTGATAAATGAGTAGGGTGGAAAACATTTAAGTAACTATGAAAAACCATGTAATAATACCACTGTGACTGCCAATAAAAAAAAAACCTTTGTAAATGTATTTGGATTGATTTTGTTAAATCAGCAACTTTCACATCACATGGTAGAACATGGCAGTGTAGCTAGAAATTTTGAACTATTAGACCAGAGGATTGTAATGACTCACCCCAAATGGCATTTTGACCCATTTTCCAGACCACAAACCATAAAATAAAAACATCTGGTCTAATGCATTCAATGGGCAAAATATTGAGACGCCATTCTTTCGGGGGGAGAAACCCCTTGACTTATTGAAAGCTGGCCATACACTGTTAGAATATTGTCCAATTCACAGGAATCAGATGGAATTCTTACAGTAGGTGGCCCTGCCGGCTTGACAAAAGTCGATTACTACATCAATTTTTGTTGAAGGGGTTGAAAATTGTCGGCGGAGCAGGGACTGTAGCTAATCAGTTGAAGTCATTGTTCATGCATTCTGGCAGCGGCGGGTGTCTGTTTAGCATGGATGGAGGATTCTGTCAGTTTTTTTTTATTGTTCCGCCTACAGACTGAATAGTGTATGGCCAACTTAATGGATTGTTGCTTTTCCTTTGAAGAAAAGGAAACAATCCTCTTTCATTGCAGAGATTTCCACGAAGGATCTTGTTCAACCAACACTGATTTTTTTTTTTAGATATGGGTGCAACCTGGTGGGCTACATTACTAACTGGTTTCTAACATCTCTCCAGTGATTCCAGCAAAATGTTTGCTGCTCAAATCCCCTCCCTTACTCTTTTTTTCCCCATCATAGAGACTGTAGCAAGAAGTGTGAGACTCCCCCAGCTGCAATCTCTCTGGCAGTAAATAAACAGTGTTATAATGACTGCCTGGAAATGGACATAGCCAATGGGTAGACCTGGAGAGATTCCCCTGCCACTGACAGATAAGGTGCTGAATGAGTTTTGGATTAACTAATGTACATCTTTACAGATGGATACTGCTGTCTGGTGCTGCCAGTGCCATAATGTGTCTACAGTCTGCAGATATCACTATGGTATACAAAGGCTGTAATGCCACAAAGTTAACTGCAGCTTATATCTTATGTCCAATCGGCACAAACCCACATTTTTGTGCTCATGGAGAAATTCTGTCAGCTGACCTTCACTCTCCTACCCATAGACCTAAATACAAGGTATATTCACAGCCAAGTGTATTCTAAGGCATCAGCATCACCAAGTCGGAAACCGAACAGTAGGAATGATTTATTTTCCTGTTTGCAACATGCTTTTTTGTGGATTCTTTCCGCTAGTGATATGTTGAAATGCCCAGTGGCATTCTCTGATTGGACGTAGAGTGGCGATGCCACAAGGGGAAGTAGCTCAGCACAGTGGCTGTTCCAGGACCCAGAAGATCACTGTACGACACATGTAGTAGATGCGGGTACTGCAGTATTTTACAGGATCTCTATGGTCCTGTGAGAGATAAATTGTATTTACTTACATTGTGTCATGCAGGATCAATTTACGTATATAATAAAAATGATATAGGTGTAAGATATTTTAGTCAAGCTCTGGACATTGTTTTACATATTCTTTACAAGCAGTAAATAAGCTTTAAAACTGATCTCTGTAGCTGCAGGCACTGTAAAGCAATTCAACCCCAAAGTCCACAGCAGAAGCAGGGAAGAGGAAGAAAGAGGGGGTGTCAGGGGGAGGGGAGTAGCTTGCCTTGCTGTGCCTGTGTGTTTGTGGAGACACACACAGATTACTAGCACACACAAGGGTGGCTCCATAGGGCACTGCAAGGGAAAGGAGTCACCCTAAACAGGATATCAGGGCCAGTGCTCAGAGGACCAGCTGATTTTGCTGGAAACTAAAACTTTTAAACATCAAGCAGCAGCATCCGTTGTAAGTGATGTAATCAGTATTTGAAATAACCTTCTGACATTAATATCTCTTCAAGTGCTGTGAACTTTAAGAATGAATTGCTCAACAGTGCCTGCAACCGCAAAGGTTGGTGAGGGGTTGTTTTAAAGCTCATTTACTGCTTATTAAGAATAGTGAAATGCTTGAATGTCTATAATCTAGCCACAGGGGTTCAGGGCTCTCCCCCTTCCTCAGTTAAAGCAGTCTTACCCCCTAGAAGCTTGTTATATGGTAGAGTGGGGAAGTGGCAGCCTTTATCAATACTTTTTGCTTGTGGTGTGAATCAGAATGAGAAACATCCTGAATGTAGCTGGATTCTGAGATGGCACTGCCAGCTGCCAATTCTAAGCTGGCAATATGCACATTTGCAAGTAATGTTTCAGCATGCAGAAGTTAAGAAAGCTTTGAGAAAGTTGGTTGCTTGACTATCCCACTGTGAAACAAGGCTCTGGGGTGGTGCTTTTGAAACACTTTGGCATTAAAAGAGGGATGGAGATGTCAGATATACCAGATGAAACTCAAATTGCATTGCTAGTGGTGTGCCTCCTGCATAAGCTACAGTGAATTCCAACTATACTGCCCCCCTTTCAAGATGATTCCCTATGCTGAGGTAGCACATAGCTAAGAACAGTTATGGGTGCAGACAGATTGGATGGATAGAGCATACAAATTGAATTTATTGCACTGCACTTTCCCAGGAGTGTCTGGTTCAAGGAAAATGCAGATGAGATGAAGTAGTTACTTCAAAAACTAATTTATAATGCATCCTGCAAGCATATTACACGAGGGCAATGTTACAAAAATGTTAGACAAGAATTATTGAACAAATAAATGGAGAAGAGTTAACAATCATATGCATTCAATATCCAATGACTTGGAATGCAAGAGATGCTTATAGTAAAGACTCCAAATGCACACAGAAATTCAAATTATTACTGGAACAATTCAAAGAAAACATTTAGCTGTAGGGGACTTGGCGGAATACCTGGACCAGTACCGAAAGCATGGAGCTAGCGCTTGCTGCAAAATGAAAAAATGCCAATGAAATAAGTTTCAAATGAATTTCATTATGTACTGAATAACTACGTAAATGGAGTCGCCATGCAGCTTTTACAAGACACATAGCCCTGTTGTTGAGCCTCATGTCTCTGGTTAGTTAGGACAAGGAGACCAAAGAAAAGCTCCCTGTCCTAATGGAAGATCCTCCAAGTGGCCTCCCTCTCCTCCTTTTCCGCCCACAATGGCTCTCCTCATTCACTATTCCCTCTTCTCTGCACCCTTTCTTCTCTGGTAGACTTCTCGGTAGCATTTTTAAACTTGCCCTTTGACATGTCATTAAGGCCTAATAACATAAATCACACTGTTGGTCATAAAACAGTAAAACAACACTTATAAAAATACACTTGGAATGGCATTGAGGCTTTGACTTAGGATGTAGGACTTCTCTCCTCCAAAGCCTCTCACTGTACTGCTCGTTATCCCTCCCCTCTCTCTACCCTTCTGTCACCCTCTACTTGGACTGCACTCTACTATATGACATCAACCTCTGTCCAAGTAGGTTTCCTCCAGAAAAATAGTTCACAGTATTTTATAATGAATGCCAGACTGGATGTTGGCAGCAATTTTCTTATGCACAAACGTTAACATCCCATACATACTGATTTAGTTACAGTTTCATAATTTTCACTTTGAGTATCAGTTATATCATAAACAGTACTCAACTGCGTTGTTGCAAATTCCCTAATACGGCTACAATCAACTTAAGGGTCAGTTTTGAAATACTAAAGGGTGTGAAAAACAGGTCTGTGGGCTCCAGCAATCGAAATCCAGTTTTAGCTTTCAATCTCTAATTTGTGCTGGAAAATGGTATCCAAGGAGTTGTAATTGGCTTTAGCTGATCTCTTTATTTATCCGAGTTTTATCTTTTGCACTGAGTCTTCCACTCTAATTTTTTACCACTTTTCTTCCTGTTTGAAAATAGAAATCCTCAATTGTGCTTTCACAATACTGCCAGCACCCAACCCAACCCCCTCCTCCCCAACCCTCAGTTTCTTGCTGGATCCTTTTCTTCTTCTTTGCTCACTCTAAACACTGAATCTTTTCCAGAGAGCACAATTCCAGATTTTAACAGGATTCATGTGTGACCTCAGATTTCAGGGAGAGCCCAGAACGGCTTCTCCAGGAAAAAAAAAGGGAGGGAGGGGAAGGAGCAAAGGGTTTCAAGGGGGAAAAGAGTGCACAGCAATATTGATACATTCGGACTCACTCAATAATCAGGATAGAGAGCAAATCAGAAAAAGTGGTAAAAATATAGCATCATACTTTTGTTTGGGGAAGTTAGACCGCTGAGCGATAAGTTTGGTTGCTCTGGGCTACCGTTCTCTATTATAGCTTGAATGGGATAATTTATGCCTGAATTCATAAAGGGTGGATATACACAAATAATGACCAATTGATGGATAGACAGATGCAAAAATAAGGTCACTTACCTCTGGGCTGAACTTGGCAATACTGGATTTGAATATCGTGCAGAGCAGGAGCCATATCCAGACAGTCCTTAAAGAGTCCATCCTGAGGGTCAGGGACTGCACACAAGTCTTTGATACTATTGGAGGTGGGGAGTTGGAGACCTCACAAGATTATGGATCTTTAGTCCTATGCTCTCCCACCTCCACCCTTTTCAGCTCACTTTCAGATACTGTCTCCTGACCCTCTTCTTTCTTTAATTAGTGTGTTGTTGGTCTTCTTTCACTGTCATTTACTTTTCTTCTCCCCCTCCATCCACTCTTTGTTACCCTCCTCTGTCACACACTCTCTCCAAAGCTACAGAGTATCTCTCTATTTTTTTTTCTGTTCACTCCCTCCCAACTCCCACTTTCCAAGCCTCCTGTGTGCCCTCCCTCTGCTCCCTGCTCCAGACTGCAGACGTGGTCTGCTCTCCCACTATGGTTAGAAGGCTTTTCTTCAATGCTTTCATTATGCCCTCTAGAGGGGAACACAAATAACAAGCTATTCAGCAAACTACAGACCTTTCCCACCTACATCATTCAAAGACAACCAAAGAACAAAGAAAAGACTAATAAAGACAGATTTGACGGGCTTTCGCAAGAATAACGGAATATGTTATGATATTGTTTCATACTCACACATGTTATTTTTCAAATTGAAAAAAGAAAATGTTCAAACTGAAATAAAGCATTGCTAAAAATAAAATAAAATATCCAAGCTTGTGTCTACAAAATGCTGAATTGATGTTCAAATTAAGGAGGTAGTCTACTCAAGGATATTTTAAATTTTGGCACCTCTTACTTTTAAGAAGTGTTACCGCGATCAGTGGGCAAAATGGACCTTCTGACTAGTAAGAATCATTTATGAAAGATGCTCATGTAACGATCCTACTTTTTGAATTTGGTCAGCCAACGTACTTAGTAGTAAATAGCACCGCTACAAGAAAACCTGAGGCCCCTATAGGTTTCATGACATCATCACATTTCATATGATGATACTACCACTGTTACACACAGAAACATTGTCTCATTTGTCATGCTTGAAAAAAAAAAGGGGCCCTATCTGGAACGCCATGAATGTTCCCAGATCACACTTTCTGAAGCAGTGATCCATACACCGGCATTGCTGGGTCTTATGACCGCAAGATTCTCAACCTGTCGTCACTCTGTCACCCAGAAGAAGGGACCCTGCACAAAACATTGGCTGTATGATGCATGTGACAATTTAATAAAAAGTGCTTTACTTCTTGCACACATCATCGAGTGCTGGTGACTTCTATTATTGAAGGTTCTCAACCTGGACACCTTGCTACACATTTGTTACTTATTTACCCTTCACAGATGTTGCACTTTGCACACGTCAGTTATGGATTTTAGATGTAAAATATCTGATTCCAAACTACTGATGTACTGATAATTTGTTTTCAGGGGCATCAGCATCCTGCCCAGCTCCTGGCAACCAGTGACATCAATGAGCTGGCTGGGAGGCCTCCCAGAGCGTCACAGGTTGGTAAGAGCTCTTGGATGCTCTGGCCGGAAAGGGGGCAGCAGACACAAATGCCTCCCCTCCACGTGACGCAATGAGATGCCAACTGAGGCATACACCTCAGGCTAAAACAGTAGAAAGGCATCATGGCACACTCACAAACCAGCATGTAAAACAACTTGTCTCACCACTAAGGATAATAACAGATGTCGTTTGTTTTGCTTGATACACCTCAGGCTGCCTCATCATAGAGACGGTCCTGTTTGTACCCCATACTCTATTCTCAGCAAATGTTGAGCAAATTGTTTCATTCATTATAATAAAGCAATTTCAAACAACATGTGAAAGCAACCAGTGAGCTACTAGTTCCACTCCAAAAATGGAGCAGTGCTAAAATTAGAAAGCTTTATTTACTTTATTCTGAGTATAGTGTCATCCACTGCAGATGGAATCTAGAGAGCATCTTACAAAGTCACCGGAAGTATACTTCCTGAAGTCTTTGCAGCATTACCACATCTTTCTCTCTTTGCTTCCAGCGTCATCATCAAAACAGGGTTATCTCTAATTGTTGGCTGTTAGTAGGATCTTAGTACATCCAAAGCCGGCCATACACTGCTTGAATTATGGCTGAATCCTCCTGACGCAGTCAAAATTTGAGCAATGTGTGGCCCTGTTGGCACCCCTCCATTTGAACAAAGTTCATTTTGCAATGGACTTTTGTCAAAGGAGCCAGTCTGAAAATTCTTAGGCAAAAAGTGACTTCAGCCAATCAGCACACATCTTACAAATTAGCAGTGCACTTCCTGGAATGTGAGTGTGCCTAGGCTCTCCCGTGCCTACAGCCTTATTGCTGTATATCTGCATCATGAGATCTTAGGCCCTTTTGCCTCTGACTGCTATTCTCAGGAGATTTGCGGTGAGATTTGGTGATGTCAATACTGTGCTGCTGACTGTTGTCTGTGGCATGTGGCAGCAAAGTCCTGCCTCTAACAAGATGGCTGCCTGCACACAGAGACACAGCACAGAACAAGGCATAGTATGTCAGTAATGGGGAACGTTCTGCTGCAGGGAGACCACAGGCAATGCTGGTGACACGTTCTTTGCCCTCTGCCTACCATTTTTGGTACAGCTTCCAGAGTTCAGTTTTTCCTAAAGAAAACTGTATATAAGGATGAATAAAATGGTACTCCAGTCATAAAATGTCATTTTGGAGAAAGCAAGTTAAGTTTTTATTGAAATCTGTGTTCCTATTGGAAAGATTTCTGCTTAATTCCTCAAAGGGACACAGATACAAATGTAAACCTGACAAAAGCTCAAACCCTTTCCCTATTATAAAAATTGGAAATTCACCTCACTTTCTATGTAGTCACATAAATCTCTTAATGTGGGGCTAAGAAGGAAATAAAACAACTGACAGATATATTAAACTATTCCCACTCCATCCAAAATGAAAAAAATAATGTAATAAGCGACACTGGGAGCAAAGATTGGATTTCAACAAAAATAGGACTGATTCATTAGGCATGGCAATTATTGGTCGAGTTCACATGGGTTCTGGATGCAGAAAAAGTATGTGCGTTGCTGGCTCAATACACCCTTTCAGAGCTAGCACTCAGCAGGAATTGCAAAAGCACCCCCTTTTGGTGTCCTTGTGAACTTAGACTTATATTGAAGCAGAATAAATACACAGTATTCTCCTGAAACAAAAGAATTCATATCTTTAGAAAAAATAAATAAAAATAAAATGTTTACTTCATACGACTTTTGAGGCATCACTGCTGGCAAGTTACACATAATTGGTTAAATGCTATTAGAAAACATATTGACACAGTCTACTGCAAAAGTCCCTTTAGTGCCCATTCACACCAGATCTGTTGCATTGCGATACATTTTTCAACTGATGCTAACGCAAAAGAAAAATGAATGAGTGTGAATGGGGTTAGTTCAAACCGCTCTATTCTGTTGCGTTACATTGCACTGAAAAAAAAAGTAGAAAGTGCACTACTTTTTTTCAGCGCAATGTGACTCAGTGGATCCGGTGTGAACTAGCCCCATTCACACCCATTAATTTTGCAGTGCACTTCTATTAGCATCCATTGAAATAAACGGATTGCAAACTTCAACAGAACGGAAGGTACAAATGGAAGTGAACAGACCCACCGTTCCGATTTTGGTGTGAACACAACCTCAATGCATGACAAGGCTTTGTCATGGATGGACACCATTCACAATACTACGTTGTGGTGGGAACACAGTGGGGTGTGCTGAAAAAAAGTATGGCATGCAGTACTTGTTTCAGTGGTACATGGTACAACATCCTCACAGCACGCCATGCACACAGAACTTAATAGTTCTAGAAAGAAAAAATATGATGTGCATATGCCAGGCAACAAACACCAGCTGCTGTGCGATGTAGTGGAGTGGCTGGTGTGAATGAGCCTTTAAGATCCTTATTAGGCATTACAAAACAAATATTTTTTTAAATTAATAAATTATAAAAAAATGCTTGGTATCAGTATAAGTATTCGGCCTCATTCACACAAAGCGTGCTGCCCCGTACAACATGAAGGGCCATTTTGGATGCACCCGGAGCTGTGGCAAGAAGCATGCGGGCAGCTCATTTAACTCTATGGAAACGGAGGAGTTCTCTGCCTTTGCATGCTGCTTTCTGCAGCTCTGAGTTTTGACGGTGTACGGTCCTGGATCCATCATGTGGGTGTCCAAGGCCGCACATCATCTGTGCGTGGCTGTAAAAACTTGGAGCTGCGGAGGCAGCATGTGAGGGAGCACAGCTCCTGCATCTCCATAGAGTTACATGAGCTGCCCGGTCGCTTCTTCCCACATCAAAAACTCTTCTTCAGGTGTATAAATAACTGTCCATTTAAGCTGTATGGGGCAACAAGCCCCATGTGAATGAGGAAAAGTGTAAAAGTACTGAAGTAGAACTTCAGCCCCAACTTTTTTTAGCTTTGAATAGAGTAGGGAAGCTTCGAGGACACAACAGGAAGTGAATAAAAATATCCTCAGTGGTCTCTGATCATGTCTGCAATGAACATGTCAGTACAGGCCTGCAGATTAGTGGAGCAAGAATGCATTCATAGTACAATGATCTGTGGAGCTGCACTTGACATGAGCTATGCCCTGCCCTCCATTCATCATAGAGAGGAACGGCCACTAGCTACTGTCAAGGTTTGCTCAGGGGAGCGATACAAAAGTCAGATCTTCTGACAAATGTAAGGCTACCTGGATCTATAGGGGATTTAGCTGTTGGCAAGCTGTTGCTGGACACAATAGTCAGACACAGATGTGTAGTGGAAAAATGTTATTTAACTCAAGCACATAATTAACAGTGGGAGCTTTGCCAGCGCTAGCAGCCAATTAGCACATGATGACAGAGAGCATATTGACAGGAGGAGCAAGCAGAGTTAGACATTACAGTGCTGCCACAGTACATCTCCATTGTTTAGTCAGCAGGTGTGTCCCTACTTCTCCTGCAGAGTTTAAGCCTAACTCGAGCCAATGTATTCTTGTCTTTTTTAATTGTGTATTTGACAGATATCCCCCACTTCCTGTCCCTTTGGACGCTCATACAAGAAATAGGAGCTGTGGTTGTCAGTGGGACCACAAGGAATGGACAGCAATAAAAACATTGTCACCCTTCCTCTCTCTACCAAAAATGTCCTGATAGGAAGTGAGGGGCAATAACCAATAGCGACACAGGCAGCAATCGGATCTATTTAACTCTAAATACAGTGTTTTGGCTGGAATTGGGCTTTCAGATTTAAAGAATTTACTAAAATTAACCCTTGCCATGGCCTAGCAAGGGTAAAAAGCTTGTTTTGATCTAGGGAG